CGAGTTCCCCTGTGGGTGCTAGTGAGACACAGGTGAGTCGAAACAGCTGTCAACCCCTGGATGAGAATACCTTTTGGGAGACAAGGTTGTGTAAAAGTCAGTAGAAACGTAATGTCTAATCATACCATGGTGGAAAAATTCAAATAACACTCCCCTAATCAGCTTAAGCGGAATATGGTGAAAACACCCCATGCATATGATCTACTGCTAATCTCAAAAACCTGATTATACAATGAAAAATCCTTTCTTTATTTTTTTAATCTCTATTTACGAGTCCATTTAACCAGCCTCTCTCAAGCTAAGTTAAAATACACCAACATCGATAATTTCGGATACAGAACTAGCTACGTTCTACAAGGTCTCCCTGAAGTTCCCATGAAGTTGCAAGAACGAGTTTGAATTAACAGTATAAAGCTAAAGGGTACTGAGATCAAACAGACGGCCACACCATCTGGGACTTCATATCTGCGTTAAGTAACTATTCACCTATAGTTTCCTCATAAACTACCCCTTAAGCTAGATATTAAATGAATCATCTAGAAAAGATAGCTGGAAGCAGGGTAGATAGGGTTTTATGCCCATTTGAGATGTAGGATCTAATGAGAGACAAGGTCGCAGTTATCACCGATTTGAAAGATAAAAGCTAAAAACCGTTTTAGTTATGATTAGGGTGTCGATAAATCTTGGTTGTATCGAAACCTCTGCTTACTTCGAAGTGAAAAGTATTTTTAATCCGAATTGCACTAATCCTTCTTCAATCGTAATAAAAATATCATTTAGCGGCTACTTCTTGGTTTTAATTTCCGCTAGGACCTTGTCCTTCACTACGGAACATTTTTTAAGCTACAATTGTGGTGCTCTTGGTTGTTATGGAATTGCTTCATTTTATCCTATATGATAGTTATGCTTTACTTTTTACCGCTTTTATAGCCCAGACCGCTCTAGACATAGTGGTATGATTACCAGTGTCTCGAACCTAATTCCTAATTCGCCACTTTTGAGTCCTGGGTCTAGCAAGATTGCTGAGCATCACCTACTGTGTCGCTCCGGAGAGCAAATTCGAAATCGCGATCATATTTCTTACCGAGGCGTCACTTCGAAAGTGTGCTTTGACAACAGCCTCATTAGTCTGAGTAGCCTTGAAGGAGAGCGCAGAGGTCAAGATGATGTAGCTACGGTGGAGGTTGAGAATGAGAGGGAATTCGAGGCTGGAGTGGAAGAGGAGGAAGAAAACTTAGGTGCTATTCGACATCCCAGAGGTTTGCCTACTCCTGCAGTGCTTCGATGGCTTGCAAATACGCAACAGGCTGCTGCAGAAGCCATACAAATAGCCCCCACCTCTACAGCCTCTGGTATCTTACCTCTTCTCAATGATGGGGCTACTAGTAGCAACAACAATTGCGATGATGGATGTAGTTTATCGACTGGAATGGACGCTTTTATTCGAGCCTCAACGACGCCAGTCTCTTCCATGCCTCATGCTGCCTGTCGGTTAGGCCTCGATCAACCTAGTACTCCGTATATTTCACATTTATCATCCACGAGCAACGTTACCTGTAGCCATGCTAATTCAGAGCAGATTCAAGCAACGGTCTTAGTCCAATCCAAGATTAAAAAACAATCTAAAACCAGGATAATGGCGGGAGACTCAGCCTCTTCTGAGGCTGGCAATCCAACGCTTGTTTCATCCGGCCTTCTATCAGAAACTGTGTCCGAGGCTATTATTTCGGACATATTGTTACCCACTTCGTCCATTAGCAATGCAGACACCCTTAGAGGCGGTGATACTACCCCTGGCGCTTCTATTTTGCCTGTGGCCACTGAAGAGAAAAGCAAGCAAACCACTGATCAGTATAGAGAAGAGCCGGTAAGTCAGTTGACTTATAAACCTCATTTATCTCATTTTGTCGCTTCTATTATGTGCAGAAGTTTTAAGAGACTTTTTGCGCATTTTGATGTGTATACAGCATGTGATAAAATGTGATAGAGATTTGTGGATTGTTGGTTAGATGCTTCCAGCCTTATTAGGAATTTGCCCAGGTATCATTCTCCATCTGCAAAATAATTAAATATGATTGTGGAGACTTTAATTTCGGATGAAAGTGCATTATGAAGAGCCTCGTAAGCCGATATCACTGTAAGACGACTACTTATTCCTGTTGTTTTGCAGTTGTTTGATTTTACTTTGACGTTTAGGTTGATGCAGGTTACAAGACATCTTCCCTCGTTACTTAGTAGAGCTGGCTAAGCTTTCGTTCGTCATATGATTGGCATCATCAGAGCTGGAACCCATTTATGTAATAAATCTTGAATTTAACTAAACTAGACCTTTTCTATCGTTTAATATTTGAACGATATTCATGACTTGCTCCATGAATTTGTGTATTTCGTTGCTAAAATATTGGCTCGATTTCCAGACCCTATATTTTAGTTATACATTAAAGATTTCATCAAGGTTCAGTGGTATTCTGAAAGTCACGTCGGGGAATAAGATTAGTCAGAAAATCTAATGCACAAGTACCTCTGATTCAACCCCGCCTTGGTATTATAGAAATAGTTTTTATCAACCTATTTTCTTGCTTATAATGGACCCTTTGCTCATGCTACAAAGGGCGATTAAAGTTTTATGCGAAATACACTAGGATATTCAAGTTAATGATCTTACAGGATCGTAAAACTCATAACTGTTGGTCCGGACTTGCCAGTGAAACTATAGTTTTATTGTAGCAGCATAATCTGTGTGAATAGCTCGCAGATTCTCATACAGTTAAGAGCTAAATTGAAAAAAATTATTTTATTAACTTGTTTGTGATGAATGCGATTGATGTCGTAGGGCATTTGGCTGTTGAATGCTCGCTTATTGAATTGGTTTGAGATAAAGCGAAAGCTAATCCTTGTAATCAAAAATGCCTTCTCAATTTAAAGCTGACAGCTGAAGCATAAGGCCTTTCGTTGCCAAGAAGATATAATAGGACTATTTCTTAATTCACCTACGGACAGTTTTTAAGACATCTAGTTCTGACATCTAATCTTTCATTTCCTATTATAAATTCCTCTTACACCACTAATTATCTTTTACTTTACATGTTTTGCCAGTCAATTATAACTACTTGTAAAGATGGCCGTCTCACCACCGGACCTGAACATCAACATTTAAATGGCCTTCAGCAGACAAAAGATCCTGTAGATTCCAGCACTCTTATCATTGGGCCGTCACCGAGCACAGTTCGCCTGATTAATCATCGGCCTGGCGAGAACCTTGGGATACAGATCAAACCAGTTTTCTTTGAGACCTCTCGGCAGCTGTCAGGCGATGTAGGAATGAATACTGTGGGGACTTTACTAGCTGGTGGGAAAATGTAGGTGCAGTTGCTCTTCTTGTCATATGTAAATAAATATATAAAAATATATATGTATATAGTAAGAGAGAGAGAAACTCAGAAGAACTAAAATAGACTGTCCAATAACTTTTTTTTCAATTTTGTTTACTCGAATTATCCTTTTGCACAATTATGAATTCATGTGTTTTTTAGTATAACAAGACCACAAAAGAGGTAATCTTATCTATTCATAAGTACCCGCCACAACCGAATAACTACACACCGTCTAATATCTCTTACAATTAAAATTCGCGTTAGGTTAATCATTTAAAGCAAGATCTCAATGTATTTAGGCTTAAATTTTAATTCACCGCTTTACGACGATGATTTATTTCGATATTTTTAATTCTAAAATACAATTTTGCATTGGTTAAGGGGAACGCAAGTAAATCAGTCTTCTTAACAAGTCTTCAACATCTGGACCTTTTCCTATTTTGGCATGATCAAAATTAGTCATAAGCAAGAATTAGGATACACCCTCGACTTTGGGTTTATGCCACAACTAGTTTATCCTGATATGGCTCATCATCATCATGGAACTCTCATTTTTTTATGCTATAGGTAGCCAGATTATGATTTAAAATTATAATTGCTATTAAAAGTGCAGATTGCTTTCTAATCTTGTAAGACACTGCTGTCTTAGTCTTACAAACCATCAGTATCTGGGTCTCTCCACCTGGATAGCTCTAATTTTTTATCCCAAAGTTATTTCGAACCCCTTTAGTTTGTCACGTGCTTATTTAAGCTCATACTTTTTACAGAGGAAATTCTACCTAGATTTCTATATTTTCGCTCTGGCTTATAACGGTATAGTTTATGGAAGGTATGAAGGCCAAGATGATGTGCCAACCCACACATTTTGTGTTTTAACATTAAAACTAATTAAAGCAAGCAGTACCACAACATTCTTGGGCTGGCACACAAGAGATTATGGCATAGTAAGTCATATACTTTGCATTACAGATAGAAACAGGATAGATGCGGCAGAGACTAGAGCTAGTCGGCTTATAGTAGGCCTGTTTTACCATAGACGTGGTCCATTAAGCAAAGGCCTAACCATGAGAATTACTCAGGGGCTTTAGCCTCGAATTAGTCTCCCAGAGGCAGAGTGTGGGAAATAACGCCTCGAATAGCACAGATGAGGTGGCAGGGATCAAGTGAAATACTTGAACCAATGAGATAGCAGACGGATCCTACGTGGCAAGAGGGAGACTCTGATAAGAAGTAGGGCTGCGTTACTCTAAATCTTCCTATCAATATGACCAAGTTGCGAAAACGAGGTCAAACAACTTCAGTACAGTTTATGCTTTATAAGGTTTGCTTTTAGACGGTTCAAGACAATTTGTCCCCTAACCTTTTTTAGCTATGGGTTACATCTACTTTTAAATAAATTTGTTATACATAGTTTTACATAAATTATATATTCAACCATTTAACTAGATCGAAATAGGTATGCTTTCTTCTAACTTATGAGATATATGCAAAATTAATCATTTTTTGTAGTTTTTTGTCTGCAACTTATGGTTTTTTCTTTCTAGAATCTTACTTTCCTTCTATTTTCATGTCTCTAGCAAGTTCTAGTTGTCTTTTTTGGGATGTCAGAAAATCACATCTGCATTGTTGACTTAAGTGCTCGGTTGACGTGCCTGAGCATGTTTAAGCTCTTTATAGAATTGTTTTTTTAAGTCTCATCAAAAGTTCGAATTATCATTATCGCCTTAACTTTGCTTATCCTAGTCCTCTATAAAGTTTTAATTTCATTATCATTTCTTTATATCCAATTTGGATTCGTAAAGCATGCCATTATCCTGAGTGGGAAATTTAACTTCCTTGTTGTGCTTCTTCCGCGTGTAATTTGCGATAACCATTTCTATTTGATTTTATAAATCCTTACAATAGTTTTCCGAACAGATTCAGGTTAAATGATCCACTCTGGAATTCGCCCAAGCTTTTTAGGCCTGTGGAAACAAATTTGATCTAGCAGCATCCTCGAACCAGTGCCGTTGTTGCTTTAAAATCAATCACTTTCATAACCCCTGTTAGCCTTGTTTCTGGCCTATTCGTGCTCGTGCAAGGAATATTTACATGATACGCTACCTTTCTCAATTAAGATTGCCGGTTTCCATATGTTTACTATAGAATTTTATATGGGAAATGTAGTCACTCTAGGTAGCTTAAATTGAAGGACTGATAATGAAGTTTCCTCTGGTGATATTACTAGGTCTCGCGATGCCAATGCCTTCTATTTAGCCAGTCCACTTATATTTGAATGCAGTTTTGGCCTCATCTGGGTCCAATCAGCAAACCCAATGAGAATCCAACCCGGGCAGTACAGCGTCTATTTTAGTCATGTTGCCATATGGACCATATATACAGGTGCTAGTAGGACATAGGACGGATGCAACTTTAAGGGATAAACAGGCCTCTCCTATAGTGAATTTATAATATGTTTGTCAATTAGGCAAACCTATTTTTAGAAGTAGGTTGACTTCATTTTCGCAACTTGGTTTTGTTGTTAGGGCGACTTAGTAGAACACACCTTGTCCGGAGTCCTTTGCCATAGTAGTTTTCATAATTCCCAGCATCAGGCCGTGGACTTCGTGCATTCTCAGACGTTTCACCAACATCATCAGTGAGTGCTGTCATTCTTCGCCCCAAGCTACGAACTCGTCAAAGAGACAAATGAAGTCAATCCATCGACCAACGTTCCTCTCAAAACGATTACACTATCACTCTTTCTATCCTGGCCCATCTATCAACTCTTATCAAACTCCCGCTCTATCACAACTTCTGACTTGTTTACATTCCACTCGTCAATATGTTTACCTTTTTTGGCAAATTTAGTGTGGCCTCATCGCATCTGTTATTCACCCTGGCACCCTCTCTTTCGATCGGCTAATCCCACTAAAGTTTCCTATCCGGATCTCCCTCATGGTCTCATAGATCCGTTTCTTATAATTCTGGCTGACCAGTGGGTGTTTTACTCCAGGCGCTATTTCTCACGGTCATAAAAGCACACACTTCCGTCTTATCGAACAGAGCGCCCAGGCTCTGATTCCCATGATTGCAGATATCTTGCATTGCCGTCACTGGTCGTCTCATTGATTAAACCCTTGTTACCTGAGCAAGCTGTGGACGCTTATCTCTGGTAGCATATGGCGTCTAATGTGGGTTTCTAGTGAATTTTGGCTATAACGCCGAATTCCTGTGACGCTTTGCTAATTCATCTGCCTAACTTCCCGAGTGCCAGGACCCTAAAGTTGAACTGGTTTATTCGAGCGGACATCATTCACTGACAACGTCTTCGCTTGATTCCCGAAAATTTTCCCTTAGATACCACTTCATATGACTTCTACTTTTGATCTACTATCTTTCTCTTCATCTTATCTGAAAATTAATTAGTAAAGCTAAACTCCCTATAAAACATCGTTTCCATTGCTTTTGAACTATTTTAGTTATATTTTAGCTTCGCCTTAGGTATCTATTTTTATTCCCATCCCGAATACACTTTTTATCTCTCCTGAAATTGCCTTATCATTTTTATACACTTTAATACATTTATATTATCACTTTAGGAATTACCTGTCTTTTTATTTATTATAGAGAATCCGGACTTGAGGTTCATTCTGTTATGCCTTACGGACGTGTTGCGCGTGAAGGCTGCTTGGTTGTTGGGCATCGCATTCTTAGTATAAACGGAACATCCTTGTCTGGAATTCCATTTGACAAGTAAGCCACCTGTTAATCTCCTAGCCCATTTGATAATTTTTTATCTATATCTCTCATATGTTTCCTAATAGAATCGATCTTCTTTCACAAGGATGCAATCCATTGCTGTATTAATTAACTGGTATATTCTCATAATCTGCAATAGAGGTTTTAATTATTTCACGCGACATAATGAGAACATCACTAATTTTAACTTTATATTATTTTATTTTTGACCGAAGGTTGATTGGAAAACAAGTTTTCTTCGTTCCATATTATCAGGTCGGCAAAAGAATGAGCCACTATTATTTGATTTTTCACGATTTTATGGATCAGAATTAAGATTTTTAACTTTCATATCTTTATGACATTAACTGCTAAATTCATTATTTGAACTAGCGCTGATTCATTTGCAAGTTTCTAATCTAGTCGGCTAAATTTTCTACTTATGCATTTTTCATGTCTCAAAGTTTATCTTTTTTTTAATATATATTTTAAAGAGTTGTATTTGGGGCCTTAAGCCAGTGCCTCAACTGCTGCCAACGCGAGTCTGTCTAGCATCCAAACTATTCGTAGTGGGCTGTATTATTTTTTAGTGATTACCAAACCTATTTATTAATCCTTTTTTCCTAGCTTTAATTATTAATTGTCAATTAATTTATTGATTTGCGTTTTGGATGACTGCGTTCTCAAGTTGTAGATTTCCTAAGTCGGCATAGGCATGTCATAATCATGTCAGGTCAGATATTTTGAAGGAATGGTTTGCTTCATAAGCATCTGGCCGAATATTTACATCCTTCCCTATTATTTCATTTGAGGCTGGCTCCTATGCTTAATTATGAATTTATATTTAATCTTGGGGATTAAGGGATCTCTCACACCCTTTGAGGGTAACTTGGAGCCATATTCGTTTATAATAACTGAGGTATTTCCCACCCACCCCCTTTTACTCGGCTAAATGCAATCAGGGCAAAGACGCATAGTAAACAGTTATTATTATCATCAATAATATGATTCTTGATAGGTGTGAGCAACTGGATATCAGCAAATTTTGATCTATCGGATATACACACACGCTAAGTTATGTCCGCGTCAATACGAGTTAATGTTCATGTCTCATGGGGACCATTATCTAACCAATCTAGGCATTGCATGACTAACGTCAAGCTAGAGTCCATCTTCTCCCTAAGAATGTCATTTGCCTACAAATGTTTACTAATCATTGTTATTTTGCATTCAAAACTCTTTCTTGCTTGTATTACTGGAAAAAATTCG